TTTTCAGATCTATTTTAATGGTAGTGATGGGAGAGAGAGATGAGAAGTTACTAGGTATTAATTTAAAATTAAGTTAAATGTAATTAAATAAATCAAAATGTGATTTAAAATGCCTTTATTAGTGTACTTTATATCTAATATTTAATGAATACAATACTAATTGCAATAAATTAAGTATATTTTCTAATAAAATGTGTAATAATTATAATTTTGTCAAATAAATCAGTCATTGCTTTAACAGTAAATACAAACAAAACTAAACAAAACAAAAGGCGAGACAAGTGTTGACCCGAAGAAGAGGAGAGAGAAAGACATCTTTCGGTGAGAAATATAGCAAATAATAGAAATAAAAGACAATTAAAACGGCATTCAATTCAACGCAGAAATAATTACCAAAATATGAATGCAATCAACGGTTTGCGCGGCGATTGTATCGTTGGGTCAATCGGATAGAGTGACCACATGTACACTACTTCTTGGGCTCGACTTTGATTCGCTTGACAGTAGAGGTCGTGCGGATGGCATCGGGTCTGAGGTCGGGTCGGATGGCTTTGCGCACCTGTTGTGCGGCAATCGTTGAGTACCGCAAATAAGTCACTCCAACGCTCTTCCAGACACTCATTGCCAGTGATTTGTGGATTCGATGCGAATTACAATTGGATTTTCGATTCAATCCACACTTTATTGTGATTGCAGAGTAAGAGGTGTGGTTTTGTGTCCTTTTAAACCCTTTAAACACACTTTCAAACTATGTTTTGGTGTTTTTTGCAATCAATATCTCATTTGGTACTGTATGTAAAGGTACCGAAACGTTGTATCATAAAAACCGGTTAACTTTATGCCTGTTATGCTTTGAGTTAACACGTTTTTGATAAATATATCAAATTACATATCATTTGCATTTGTGGCAATTTTAAAAAGTTAAATGTATTGACTACTTTTTACTGAAATATTGATTCATTAAAAATTCATTAGTTATTAAGAAATATTCAAACAAATAATTATAAATTGTTATCTTATTTCCACACAGTTTTATAAAATGTTTCGAAACTTACAAAACGATAAGAGTATTAATTATAAAATAATACTTTAATATACAGTATTAAAGTTTAATAATATTGTACTTCTACAATACAAGTTGCATTTAATAAATCTATTTGTTGTACGCTATAATAAATGTACAGTAAATATGCATTTACTAACAGTAAAACAATTTAATCGCTATATTAAACTTGGTGATAGTTTATAAACTCAATATTAACTACCAGTAATAACTTGTGTTCAACACATTTGGCAAATGTTTAATGAAAACTTAATTTTGTAATAAAACTTTATTCTGTATTAAAATTAACAAAAAATACACTAAAAATGAATGCAAATATAATAAATGGTTACCATTTCCTTATGTGTATTATAATATCATTTATATTGTTTTGTTTAAATTCATTGATTTCATGCGATAACAGTAATTGCAATGCAATCGTACAGTCAAATAATGCCTTATATCGGGGCTGTAATCAAAGTATCTCAACAGCCAGTCTTATTGCCCGCGAGAATCCGTTTAAAACTATTTATTCATTTAAGGTATTTCTTACGATTAAATTTAAAATACAAACATTTAAATGACAGACTATTTGCTGACATCTTAGGGCATCCCATACGCGGAACCTCCGGTCGGGAACTTAAGATTTCGCAAACCTTTGCCAATAAGTTATGATGAATTGACAGAAGTGAGCGCAACAACGTTTGGCAAGTCCTGCAAACAGCCCCCACTCGCCAGCAGAGAGTCTTATAATTACATGCAATCGTCGGAAGACTGTCTTTTCATTAATATCTTCACGCCGTCTGTGAATCCAACGGCCAATCTATCGGTGATGGTCTACATTCATGGCGGAGGTTTGCTGTTTGATAGCGCCCGACAGGTGCCCAGCGAACAGATCAGCCTAAGAGATGTTGTGGTCGTTACTCTCAACTATCGTTTAGGAGTTTTTGGATTTTTGTGCACCGATAGCGATGAGGCGCCCGGTTGCTGTTTGATAGTGCCCGACAGGTGCCCAGCGAACAGATCAGCCTAAGAGATGTTGTGGTCGTTACTCTCAACTATCGTTTAGGAGTTTTTGGATTTTTGTGCACCGATAGCGATGAGGCGCCCGGAAATATAGGGCTCTGGGATCAGGCAATGGCTCTCAATTGGACTCAACATAATATTAGACAATTTGGTGGTAATCCGGATGACGTGACTATTTTCGGACAAAGCGCTGGAGGAGTCTCTGTCACCAGTCATATAGTGTCTAATGTGAGCCGAAATTACTTCAATAGAGCAATTATACAGTCGGGTATGAAATTACCATTTTGTTTGCAATTATGCTTAAAAGTTTTGAGTCAAAACACATGAATACAGATTAATAAACCCTCCAACAGCTGTCCCCCAAAATTTACCATCAAATATATAAATAAATTCATATAAAGTTCCGTATATTAAATTTGAGTGCAAAATAATTTAGTGTTCTTTTGGATGTAAATTAGGTTCAAGTTTAACAAATGTTTGGCTCCGAAGCAGAGATTACGCGACACGAGTGGCCAAAAGATATGCCACATTTATTGGTTGCGACCGAGAAATCAATTATATTGAATGTCTTCGAAACAAGACTTCAGATGAATTACTGACCGCACAGTCGATGGCTTTCCTATGGAATCAGAACACACCCGACGCCCACCCCTGGTATTCGGCCCTTATATTAGAGTTTGTTCAGTGTTTTGGTGACCAGTTTTTACCCAATAATACCTTTGAATTGTTAAATTCACACAATTATAATAATAACATATCGATACTTATGGGTCACACGACCCTAGAATCGGCACATTTCACACACATATTTGATGTGTTGAAGGCTCGGTTCGGGGCCAGTAGTGCTCAAATGCCCGACGCTGTGGTCAACATTCAAACCGCTAAATACGATATACAAAGAGTTATGATAAATAATAACACGTTTGATGGCCTGATTGCCAGCGAATACACGAAATCATTCAATAATTTCCTACTTATGATGCCTTTGGGTTTCTTTGAGAGGCAAAGACTCCGAGCGGCTGTCGTTCACACGTATAGCGACTACTCGTTTGTTTGTCCGACTGTTCTGTTCGGCAAATATATTGTCAGTAACCCATCATTTGGTGGAAAAGTATATCAGTATTATCTGAGTTATGCCAATAGTCAGTCCACCTGTAAGGGCAGCACATGGTGTACGAGCACACACTTCGATGACGTACCCCTTGTCTTCGGACAACCATTCTATAAGAAGGGCTTTTCTAATACCGACAGAAATATGAGTACAATTTTAATGGATATATTCACTACTTTTGCCAAAACAAAGTCAGTATTAGAAACACAGTGTTTACAAACTAATTAATAGTCAAATAGTTTAATAACTTGTATATTTAATAGCGCTCCTCCTGTTGTGAATGGACATCAATGGCCAGCATATAGTGTGGAGACAACGGGAGATATGCGAGACGTGAGTCTCAATTACATGGAACTGAATGACAAGAATTTGGGCCAAACCTTCTTTGATCGATACAAAGGGAACAATGGTTTTAATCCCGATATCATTCAAAACTGTCAATTCTGGGAACCAATATTGCGATCACTTTTCTAGATACGGCACTATTTAAAACATAACTTTAAAGTTTAAACTACAAACATATTATAAATTTTAAAGAGTATTTACTATAAAACAATGCTATAAATAAAATATTACGAGAATTTGTTGCAAATGTGAATCATTTGTTGTTTGGTAGTTAGAAATGTGTAATCATGTAATTCAAAGAAACGATTTCATAATTGATAACATTATTATTTTTTTAATTCTTAAAATTTCAAACTAATAACTATAATATTTGTAAAACAATATAAAATTTAATGATAAATAATGATTTTAAAGTTTCTAAGAAAATATATGTGCTTTAAATGGAAATGAATTCTTA